CAAAGATCTCCGAACCCTGCTCAATCTCAATCTCGTGGATAGGCTCTACTCTAAGATCAATCTCGACACAGAACCGCGCCATATTAGCCCTGGACTGGAGAGCAGTTGGGGCATCAATGCGGACCGGTTTTCCGACACACTTAGCAAGTGTGGTGATGGAATCTCGGTCATACAGATGTGGTGGGAGGCCAGGGAGGCGGCACCACACGGGGACGACCGGCGTCTCCGTCTTCGGGTTGAACCCGGAAGTGTACTTGAATACCCTAGCTGGGCATCCACACACAGAAATAGAAGTCCTAAGCCATGCCTCATTATAATCTTCGGAGAGATTAAAAGTGACTAGAAGATGATTGAAGTTATACCACTTAAATGAGAACCTACCCTTAAATCCCAATTTTCCTAATCCAGCAGCTAGGTCTCGAGGGAGAGGGATAGCATAGGTGAACTTAAAGACCAGTGTGTTCGCTAACTTACCTGCGAGGGTGTCAGCTTCGGCCTGTGAGAATCGGACCTTCACTCTGTTCCCCTCCGAGCGGATGATGGTCCCGCAAACGTGGTCATAGTCCCCGTCAAAGATAAACTCCTTGGGTATCGGCCGCGGGTTATCTTTTCGCCCGAAACGTCATCTCTCTTCCCCCTAATGGCCTCTCGGAAGGAGAGCGGACCATTGGAAGTGGCCGGCGGAGATTCGGGGTTTGCCGTTGGGGGGCCCGTCGCCGGAAGTTGACCGGGGGAGTGTGTCACGGACGTATTGCTTGGGCCCGCGAGGACTACACCATCTTCACGCACATATAAGACGGTCGGTTGAGAATCTCCGGCGGCAGAAGAGGCCACTCCGGCGAGTTGCTTGGACGGAAAAAGAGATTTTGGGCGGGGTCCGAGAATTTCGGCCGAGAAATCCGAAATCGGAGCATTACCGGCTTTAATGACGGTCGGCTGTGACTTTCCGGCTGCCTTGTCTGCGCCGGCGCCGGCGATGTGCGGTAGGGCGCCGCCTGTCGGATGAATAGGGATGGCCGCATGTGGGTTGCCGGTGGCGGAGGGGTGATGAAGATTGGCGACGGGTTGAGAATGCTGTGAGGCTTGGGGGATGTCGGGCTGGGAGACAGAATGGTGATTGGGTCGAAGAGGGGGAAGTACCGGGCTGAGATGAGGTGGGCCGGTTAGTGGTTTTGATGCTGCATATGGATTGTTGGGCTGTGGTTGAAGGGTTTTGGGTGTAATTGGGGATGGTGGGCTGCAGATGATTATTGGTTTGAGATGGTCCGAAAAGGCCCAATGATGGGCTGCGTTGGATGATGGGCTGGGGGGAGGGATATGTGGGTTGGAGAGGTAAATGGTTATGGGCTAAAGGAGCGGGCCCAACAAGAGATGGGAGTGAGATGGATCTGGAAAGAGGTCCTTTAAGGGCCACGTGGTTTGGGAGCTGGGAGCTAGGTTTCTCTACCTGCACGCCGTCACCCAATAATTGCGAATTGCTGAGACCTTTGACCGGCGGGTTTTCTGGCCAGGGAGCCGACGTCAGGGACAGGGAGCCAAATTGAAATGACGGTGAACGACTGTCGTATCCAATATGAGCATGCCTTGACCTCGGAATAGCCCCGCTTGAATTACCAGTGGTGTTCAAAACTTCAGCTGAGGTCTTCTCTCCGGAAGAGATGAACATACCGTCGCCTACTGGAGGAGAGACAGCGACCATGGGAGGGGCAGTCGTAACCGGAACTTCTCTTGCGATTTGTCCGGAGTTTTTCAAGCTTTGTTCCAGAATTGCCAAAACTGATTTTCCAAACTCAGGGTGCAATAAGATGCAGCTGAAGTCTGGCGCCGGCGGTTTGACCGAAGTTGAAGAGGTGGCTTGCGGGATGGTCATAGGGTTGAGTGGGGCCGGAAGGGCCGACGCCAGTGGGATAGATGGTTGATACATAGCGAATCCAGGGACTGAAGGGGGGGGGGAACTGCCGGCGGACAGCGGCTTGCCGGAGCAAGCCGCCGGCGACGGCTTCCGGTGGCGCGGCTAGAAGGCAGGGACGGTGGTCGGAAGAGCTAGGCAAAAAATTGGGGGAGAAAAAACTAGAGAGAGAAAGTAAGAGAGAAGGGAGAGCATTTGGTGAATTTTTGTCTTTTGTTGCTAGATTATTTCTTTCTTGCTGCTAGGTTAGTTTTCTTGTTGCTAGGTTAGTTGCCTTTTGTTGCTAGGTTATTTATTTCTTGCTGCTAGGTTAGTTGTCTGATGGTGCTAGGTTAGTTGTCTTTTGTTGCTAGATTATTTCTTTCTTGCTGCTAGGTTAGTTCTTTCTTGCTGCTAGGTTATTTGTCTTTTATTGTTAGGTTATGTTATTTCTTTTCGCTGCTAGGTTAGTTGTCTTTTGTTGCTAGATTTTTTTTTTCTTTTTTTTTTTAAACAAACAACGCCCCGAAGGGCGGGGGATTAGGCTGGATCCCCAACCTGTATATAGATCATAGCCCTAAAATGGGCCAAAACACTCAACATAGTCTCACAATCCAAACAGAAACGAAAACAGAAAACCAGAAAATAGAAAATGAAAATAGAACAAGGTCTGTCATCGGGCTAACAGGTGCCCGGAATAAGTGGCTGGTCTAAGAGAAACGAAACCAAAAATCTAATCTACTGGAAACGAAATGATGGATATCCCAGCTGATCCATCCGAACTAGCGTGCGAAGACGGAGTGGAGCAGTGTGGGTCTGATACGTGTGCGTGTCTGGTATGGTAGCGCCAAGGCTGGCAAGGTAATCAGCAGGTCTGTTCCCCTCACGGAAGATGTGTGTGATCCTGTAATGGACAGACCGAAGTAGATCTCTAATGCGCATGAGCGGGTGCTGAATCTGCCACGATCCTTGATGACCCGAGGCCAGGAGGGTGACGACAGCTGCAGCGTCCAGCTCAATCCAAATATGACTAGAGAGGTCGGCAGCAATCTGAAGGCCAATCTGTAATGCCTGTATCTCTGCATCGTAGCTCGAGGAGGCCTGAAGGGATGTGTGGAAGGCGGTGATAAGAGCTCCACTGTGGTACCGGATCAGGCCTCCTCCTCTAGCAGTACCGCTATGGCGATCGAAAGATCCATCGGTGTTCAGCTTGACCCAAGGAGAGTCGGGTCGAAGCCAAACAACAGCTCTGGGCCGAGGGGATCGAACAGGCGAAGGTGGAGCCACCCTGTATCGGTGCGGTGGCGTGCAGCCTGTCCAGTCCCGTGCAGAAAGCCTGCCCAACGCTGTGAGGAGCGAAACGTGTCTCTCCACCTGCAAAACAATGTGAGAAAAAGAGAAAGTAATATCCCTATGCTTCGCACTATTCCTTTCCGTCCAGGTGAACCAAAGGATCAGACAAGGAATGGGGAAGCTCACGTGTCTAAAGTGTGTGCTCTGTGAGAAAAAACTCAGGAGCTCAAAAAAACTGTCTGTGGAGGGTAGGGGTATATGAGTCCAAGTAGCAAAATGCTCCCACACTCTCCTCACAATCTCGCTATCTAGAAAAAGGTGGGTAAAGGTCTCGGTCTCATGAAGTCCGCTCTCAGAACAACATACACATCGGGAGGGGAAGGAGATCCCCCTCGCATGTAACACAGTGTCCACAGGTATCCGGCGCAAGAGGAGGCGCCAAAGGAAAACAGATATGGTAGGGGTGAAAAGGTCGCTCCAGATGGCTCCGAAGATTATCTCTTTTGTTGCTAGGTTATTTCTTTCTTGCTGGTAGGTTAGTTGTGTTTTGTTGCTAGGTTAGTTGTCTTTGTTGCTAGTTTAGTTGTTCTTTCTTGCTGCTAGGTTAGTTGAGTTTTGTTGCTAGGTTAGTTGTCTTTGTTGCTAGTTTAGTTGTTCTTTCTTGCTGCTAGGTTAGTTGTCTGATGCTGCTAAGTTAGTTGTGTTTTGTTGCTAGGTTAGTTGTCTGATGTTGCTAAGTTAGTTGTATTTTGTTGTGTTTTGTTGTTAGGTTAGTTGTCTGATGTTGCTAAGTTAGTTGTATTTTTTTTTTATAAAAAAATTGTAACCCATAGGATTTGAACCTGGTACCTCATTGAGGTAAGACAAACAATGCAACCACTACACCACTCAAGGTTGAGTGTCTTTTGTTGTTAGGTTATTTATTTCAATACAACGGGTCAACGCCGGAAGTCAACGGTCAACGCCAGAAATCAACGGTTAACGCCGGAGTCAACGGTCAACGCCGGAGTCAACTAATAATTATTTTATTATTTAATTAATGTATATTTTAATTGATTTTGATCTAGACAAAATGAGTGGCTAAGATTGAGTCTCACGTACTCATTTTAAGGAGTGGTCTCATTGGATCCATCCCTTATATATATATATATATTATTATTATAGTATTTATCGGATTTTGTACATGAATTGTAATCTCAATGTTATTTGTTTGTTGTGATTGTTTTAAATTTTAGTTTCTTTTAGTCAAGTTACAAATGGTAAAAATAATAGAATTGAAAAACGAAAATTTAATTCAACCCATAAAATATTCTCATGTCACATACACGTGTCAGTATCAAATACATAAGAATAAAAACATTACATGCTATTAATTGAAATAAACTTACCATTCTGGGTCAAAAAATGCTTTAGGCGGGAAAAATTTGGAGATTTTATAATTAGGTTTTATTAAATTTTAAACTAGCAATTATACATATATAGATAACTGATAGTCATTATAGGACATCATCCATTTTAAATGCATGTTCTAATTTATTGTTTAATATATTTTTAAAAATGATATTATTTAGTATTGTTGCAATAAAAGAGTTGACTATTCGAGATTACAATAAAATAAAATGAAAAAGATTTTAAAACCTTGTTTATATTTTGTCTATTTTTTTTAATTTTCATATAAAAGGACTAAACTTGATTTATTCCTTTATTTTTTTATTAAGTTATTTTCAATTTCCTTGTATAAAATTTTATAATTCTGTTATAGTCATCTCTATTTTTTCTATATGATAAGCTGTTTATGATTTTCTTAATAAAAACCATACAGGCACTATTTATTCATTTGGCCAGAGAGCCTACAATTGTTTAGGACCGGCTCTCTATACCAGTCACCAGCTCACTTGCGCGGTACAGCATTACTTGCTACAGAATGTTTATATCCAGCATTTACAGACCATATAAACCCAAATGAGAGTTGATGACTGAGCAACAATTGAATTCAATTCAATACGAACAAAGTACTCCGGCCCTATGCTCAACAAAGAATCAATCTTCTAACCTATCACAAATTTTTGTACCCTCAATCAACTAAAACAGCAATAAAGAATTCAAAGAAATAAAAAATATTTGGACTTCCAATTTACAAGAGAGAGAATGGATTCAGATATCATCTTTTTGGCGAAATACGAGTCTTAATTGGTTTTAGTTTCAATCCCATGCTCTCTGGAGAGAGAAGCTCTGGTGCAATACAAGTTGGGCTCAGTGGACTCCTTGGACTGCCATTAAACTGATTGGGCTTGTATAGACCGTAACCCATCAGAAAATATTCCATGGGTACCAACATTCCATGAGGCTGCTCTTCCGTGACCATTGATCCGCAAGCCTGTACCTGAAAAAAATGACACTCTTCCATCAGCGCCAGAATTTGCATTTTCACGACTGCAATGCACATATGCCATAAACTACGTTTGTCATCTTGTGGTTCATAATGGCAACTGTTCTATACATGTGCCGATAAATAATCATTTACTTAGCTTCTAATATGGATCATTAAGGTTTTCAGGGGAAGGTTAATTGTCTAAGCAAGATGTCCTTGAAGCATCTCGAATGCATTTATTATAAAATAATCGAGACCGTGCATATTTAACAAGGAAAACTCCAAAATCACCAACCAATCAATCAATTAAACCGCATCTAGCTAAAATAATTGTTTTCATCGTGGCTTTTGTGATCTTTTTATTGCAATTTAAATTTTCTGTTTGGCAATGACTAAATTGTTTTTACCACACTATCTTTATAAATGCTCATGTTATACCTCAACCAGCGCACTAAATTTGCTGTCTAGATTAGCAGCCATATGAAGTGCCTCCGAATGAAAAGGAGTATCATCTCCAACAAAAATCAGAGTCCGACATCTCAGAGTTTTCAACCCATCAGTTAAATCAGGTCTCCTGTGCAATGTCAAAAGAGTAATTAGGAGAGAATAAAATTCCAGGAAGAAAAAATAAATAAAAAAAAAGATTAGCTAAAGTCAAACCTATGCAGAGACGTGCAAAGAAAAACACTACCAATTGCAGAATACCTATCTATTGCTTTAAGGAACCTCAACACATTCATGCTCTGCCTCTCATCCAGAAGCTGAAATATGAATTAAACCACATAAATCAGATAATAAGAGGATAATATGAGGCGAAGCGAAAAAAGGAGTTAAAGTAGAGATACTAACTCTTCTGCATGCTTGAACTATGTCCGATTCTGGAACTTCTGCACTGCCACGAACCTCCTGAAATAATACTGTAAAATTTCAGCCCTCCATATATCCAAGGGGAGAGGGACAAAAAATCACGGACTAATGAAATTCTAAAATACCTTGCTAAAATATCGGTAAAGCAAGATATCCTTCAGGAGTCCGCACATACCATAATAATACAGCAAATTGGACATTACCTATAGAATTCATACAACATCAAATATAGCAGAGGAATTTTTGTGGAATTACAATAATAACAGTAAATTGGAGATTTAGTGAGACCTTATTACAAAGCCATTCTGTCCATGATGGGGCTTTGCACAAAGGGGAAACCAGGATCAAACCAAGAACCCGCTCCCTAAATTTCATCTGCAATAAAACAAAACAAATAATAATCAGCAATGATGATGATGGTGATAATAATAAGGCTTAATTGCACATAAAATCCTCACCTTTTTTGTGTAATTGCAAATAAAACTCGAAATTTTATCTGTGCAAATAAAAACCAAACCTTTATTATGTGTTGTAAATTTGTCTCAAAACTATTTTCCGGCCAATTTTGGTGACGTGTCCGATCAAAACACTAAAATCGCCTAAAAATCACTCGAAAATCGCTCCCTCTGCCCAATTTTTCAGAATTTTGGGGTGAGCTCGAAAATGTATTCGGAATGCTGGGGGTGAACTCGATTTTTGGGTTTTTGGGGGGTGAAGAATCGCACCATGGAGAAGAGAAAAATCACTGCAAATATTTTTTTTTCAACTGGGGGAAAAGAACTCGATTTTTATGAAGATTATGGAGCAAAAAAATGGTGATAAAATCCTATTTTTTCAATTGGTACTATACTTTAATTTTGGTTAATTTGTTGGCACATGATGTGACAAAAACATGGTGAGGAGTTTAAAAGATTGATGCCACACAAGCCTCATAAGTGCCACGTAAGATTTTTGATCGGACACGTCAACAAGGATTGGCCGAAAAATGATTTTGAGACAAATTTGCAACACATAATAAAAGTTTGGTATTTATTTGCAAAGATGAAAAGGTTGAGTTTTATTTGCAATTAAACAAAAGGTAAGGATTTTAGGTGCAATTAAGCCTATAATAACAATAAAGAGGAGAATAAATAGTTACAATATTACAATAGTAGAGCAGATAAAGTCAAAACATACAGCAAACAAGGTAAGGATGTAAGCACCAGCCATTACACCCATGCACATAACTGCACCAAGCCTGAACAATGTTAAAATTACATATTAGGAACATAATTATAATATTAAATCCTGATCAACATCTCCAAGACCGAATCTATATAATGAAACTTAGAAAATAGCTGATTTATATTATCGTGTTTACCTGAAATAGTTGAGAACCTCAAGAACTTGATTTGCTAGGTCATCTACAGAAGGCACGGGATTGTCATCACAAATAGCGCCAGCTCCCAACTGCAAGAACTCTTATTAGAGTCCTATTTATTTTCATTGGAGTTGTATTTTCTAATATCAGTATAAACACTTAACTGCAGTAGGAAACTAAATACCAATGTTGAATCTACTATGCAATTGTCTACAGGGGTTCCAATTTACATACCTCGTGTCCAGGTGGACTAATATGGTAAACACAGAAATTGTGCAGAAGCAATGCTGCAGCTTCAGGACAAAAGAATAACCCTTGGAAGCAAGACATATCTGCAGGAAAACAAAGCCAATGCAAACCATTTTATTTGACTTGCAGAGAAACAAAGATAGAACACAAACAAATGTTGCTAAAGCAAAGTTCGAATAAATTGAAATGTTAGTAATAAAGAGATGTGGCCACTCACGGTTTAAAGCTAGATCAGGATAAGTAACCAGAGGCGGCTTGTCTGGGTCTCCATAAACTATAACAGATACAGAGCCGCATCCAGTTTGTACTGTATGCTCCTGTGAAGAGATTATTCAATCAGTCTATCGGCAAATGCATGCAATTGTGAACATTTAGGTAAAGAATCACAACCATTGAAGTACATGGACAACCAATTCTTCCATCTTACGATAAGAGAAAAAATCACTTAATGCGAGAAAAAGGTAAGAATCAAAGGGTTATCTGGTGAACGCTGTGCTCATTCAAGACTTTAAACATCAACTAAATACCCAAAAATGAAGGGCACTCAACCTAACAATTATAAACTATAAAACTATAGGAGTTAACATAATGATAGCAACTGCTAACTACTCTTGAAAGAAACAAATTAGCAGAATAACATCCAACCTATATTTGTAAAATCATTTCTAGAAAGAAGCTGACAGGTGTCACAAAATGCTATAGAAAATTTATTGGTTCTATGTTAGAATCACTACGAAATAAAACTCAAACACCATATTACATTAAGAATAATGTAGCCTAATCTCTACGGATATAATGTCTCAAAACAGGCAAATATATTATCACAAACTATTCGATTACCAAATTAGAAAAAGGCAAAATCTTATTCACAATCTTTTTAACTGCTATGACCATACATAACCATCTGGTAAAACTATTAACTTCTAGCAAAAGAAAAGGAACTGACGACTGAATTTCAAGGAACAACTTACATGGTAAATATTCTTCCGTAAATGTATAGGAAATAATCAACTATGTCATCCTCAATATCGGAAAAACAAAGAAATGCAATAAGGATTTTCACATCTGAATTATTTCTGAGAACAATAGTAAGGGACTGATTTGAGGGTAAGATAAGAACTAAAGAATAAAGAAAAATTATAAAACGAAAAAGACAGAAAAATAAGTTGAAGCATTAAAAATTTAAAACAAAAGGCACAGCAAAAATCTCCCACCACAACTTGGAATTATCATTGCTATCTTCAAATAGAAAACTTAAAGCAGATCTAATTCTTTGCCCAGATATATTCTCCCTGTGGACTCGGTAAAAATGCATTGAGTAGAAATAGCAAGTGGCATGTGGAACAACAAAGAATCATAGATATGTATATGTCATATGAACTGCAAATGCGGAAACTTGAAGAATAAAAAAATTTCAACCTTTCCTCCGGAATAAATGGTCTCGACATCGAGACAAACAGAGTCGGCGCTTGATTCAGCCATGACCTGAGAGCACACAACAATTGATAAGGTTCTCTAATCAATTCGCTATATAGTATATACAGACGTGCACAATAAATCAAGCCCACAGCTCATTGATGGCTTACGTACGAAGGGATTCTTTGACCGCTCTCCTTTTTCATTTGTTTTGTTTGTTTCTCTCTCTACAATTTCTCTTTTATTTTCCTTCTCATTTCTGTTCTCTCAACTGTAATCCAATAATGAATCCCCCCACCGACGCTCTCCCAATTTTTTAGTAAGTGAATAAGGACAAGATTGAGGGGTATTTCTGTCATTATAGGATGACGGATCCCGTGATTTTATGCGGTACAGAATCTAACCGTAGTTAACGGCCGACAACGATGACGGTGGACTGATGGAAAATTGGTGCTACGCCTAAACATTAGTCCCCCTACCCGTCCCCATACGTTTATGGCATGATTGGTATGATGGAATGGAATATCGTAGAAATTGAATGAATTGAAGAATGAAATAATTATGGGAATAGAATGAAACATGTTTTGTCATTGATACACTTGATATGCATAAGAAATATGACTAGAATAGAATTACGTTATTATTTTTTATTATAAAATAAATAAAAGTTTTTTTTAAAATAATATACTTTTAATAAATTATATATAAATGCTTTTTTAATAATAAATAAAAATAAAGTAATATATTTTTAATAATATGTTTTCAATAATATATTTTGAATAATATATAAAAATAGAATAATATAATGTTTAATAACATAAATAATAATATATTTTTAATAATATATAAATATAAAATAATATATTTTTAAAGTATATATAAAAAATAATATTTTTAATATATAAAATATAATATAATTTTAATAATATATATTTTATTTTTTAATTAAATAGTAAATAAAAGTAAGTTTTTAATTTTTATTTGAATTTTATTTTTTAAAATAATATATTTTAATATTTAAAATAAAGTAATATATTTTTAATAATATATATTTTAATATTTTTCAATAATATATTTTTAATAATATAGTTTCAAAAGTAATATATTCCTATATATTATTAAACATAAAATATTTTTAATAATATATAAAAATAAAATAATATATTTTTAAATTATATATATATATATTTTTTATTTTTTTTTTACGAAACGATAGATATAATATAAAAGGGCACAAATGTGCAAAATTACAGCCACAGCCGAATATAAACAACCAATAGCCGAATATAAGCGGCTAACACCTGAGAAAACTGGGAGGACAGGTCAAACGACTGCCTAGAACCGACCCCAACGGGGTAATACTCAACANAACGATAACTATATTGTATAAACTAGAAAACTCAAGAGAGTACAAAGGGAGTGTCAACTAACACTAAAGAACCAGAAAACCTGGACCTACCCCTTGGAACAACACAAGTGTCCAAGGACGTACTCAAGAGTGTACAAAGGGAGTGAACTGGTTGCACTGGCGTGACTCATACACCTTGGGAACGGGCGTCGGAGTCACCGGTGTACGCGAGGGTCCAGAGAAGCCCAGGAGAGGGCCTTCTCCAAACGGCCTCGTCATCGTCCACGCGTCGTCGAACGATGCTTGCAAATCTCTCCTAGGAATTCCGTCCGCCATAGCCGCCGAGCTTCAGCAATCTCAGCACACCATTTTTCGAACGAAAGTCCCACAAACGGCGCCAAATGGTAACGCAAAACACTCCGACCGGCTTGAAATCAGTTCGCCTTCCTCTTCCTCGCCGGTAGAACGCTGCGCACCTGCACATAAGTCTCACACCGGAGGAGTTTTCCGGTGAAGAGCCTCCGATGCTTAAGTCAGTATGTGTTTGTTCAATTTTCCAAAGTAAAGAATCGTAAGTCCCAAGAAAAGACCCACTCCTATTAAATATAGGAATGGGATACCGGCCCTAGGAGCTGCCCGGATTTGGTGAGCTGTCCTGCCTGTACTGCCCGTCCGTACACACACAGTCTGTGTGTGTCAGAAGCGTCAGAGGTGGTTATCACCACTATTGCTCTGCACCAATGTACTCTCGCCACGTGTCCCTCTGAGCAGAGGGAGATTATTCTCTGTACATTCCGTTAAGATCTTCTAACGTCACCCACGCGCTTTCTCGTGTTCAAGCCACTCTCTCGACCGCTCTTCACGTATTGAGTGCTCGATCCGATCGAGCCCCCTATCGCTAGGTCGATCCTTGACCAATTCTGCTATTCTGCTCGATCTCTTCCCTTTTGGTCGATCATCCCTCGACCAATGCGGTTTTCTCTACTTCGAGCTTGCCCGACCAACGTGGTAGGCCGGCCTATTCTTTAGCTATATAATATCCCATATCATCTAGTCCCCCCCACTCTGGTCGAGTCTAAATGACTCAATCTAAGAGTGAATTCGAGCTGTCCTCTCCGCTCTGCCAACCTCTCGATCTCCTGCTTACATTTACCTCCTTCCTCAATCGCCTCGATCGGTGCCACCACCATTCTTCGACCACGCGATCGACTTTATGGTGCATTTTAACTGTCCTTTATTTTCTTTTATTATTAACGTAATTTCCGCCTGCCATATGTCCTTTTCGCTCAGTACCTTTAATCATCGTGCCTCCTCGCGATTTGTGCCGCTTTGCTATTTGTGCCTCTTTAATCTCTCTCCCACCGTTGGATCCCCTTTTATCTAACGGCTATCTCCATTTAACTCTTCACCTTTTTTATCTACCCTCTTATAAATACGGTACTTAGCAAATTTTCCGACTTTTTTCACCACTGCAAATCGCGAACTCCATTGTGCTCTGATTCCTTCCTCTGCAAATTGTTCTTTCCTGCTCCCGGCGCCTTTTCTTCAAGCAATCTCCAGCAACCGCTCTCTACTGCCACCATGAGTAAGTCTCCTGTACTTTAATTTTGTGTTCGCGTGTGTTTATTTTATCGGTTTTTGGTTTTTTCCCTGTTGCTTCTTCCTTTCCCCGAAACCTTCTCATTTCATCTGCGGAAAAACACTCTTTCTTCACCTCTCGAAACCTTATTTTTTCTTTTTTCCTTCCCAATTTTCCTTTCTACTTTTCAGATTCTATCGATTCTAACGCACCAAGCCATCACTCTGGTGAAGATGAGACCGCCGCATCCTCATTCCCCACTCATCGGCCTATTCCTCACTCGCCTTCCCGCTCTGTTGAGGAAATCTACAATCCTACTCCTCTCAATGTCCTACGCCCTTCCGATTGTGCAACATCCTCTCCTCCTCGCCAACCTAATCGTCTGATCGACGAATCAGATGAGGATGCCCTTGACCACATCCCTCTCAATCACCGTCGACCGGCGTTTGGGGCTTCTAATGCCGCTGAAGAGGCTCTTGATGCTGCTGAGGCCGCTGTTGAGAAGGACGAAGCTAATGCTCCCCTTTCTCACCATTCCGTTTTTGCTAGAGTTGCTCCTTCCCCTAATCTTAAGAAGGGCGCTAAAAAATCCTCGACTGTTGCTACACCTCTTGCATCTTCAGCTGTCCCCATCGCTACCTCTCTTAAGGCCGCCCCAAAGAAGGGTAAGTCGACCAAAGTGTCTACTTCTTCTAAAAAGACTTCTTCTTCCCCTCGCTCTCTTATAGCTGGCTGGCTGGATGCCGAAGAAATTGGCTATCCCGCCAGCTGGGCTTTTGTATCTCCCGGCCCTTGGGATACCTATGATAACCCTCCCCGAAACTGCTACACTTTCTTTGAGATTCAATTTAAACTCGACATCCGTTTTCCCTTAAGCCAAGATTTGCTCGATCTCTGTAAGTGGTTCGACCTGCCCTTGAACCAACTCCCCCCTAATGCCATCCATTTTATCATTGTTTTCATCATCCTCTGCCACATTCTTCTAGGTCGGCTCGACCTATATTTCTTCCATTACTGTTATACAGCCTCGAAACATGCTCAGGGGCTCTACCTCAAAAGCTGCAACGATGTCCATTTCATTTCGGACACTCCTTCAAATGTCCCCAAGTGGAAAGACAAATTCGCCTTTGTCGAGCCCAAACCTGCTTTCCCTTGGGCATCATCTCCTTGGCTCAAAGAACTCCCACGTGAGTATTCAACACCTTCAACCAACGCGCTCTTCGACCAACGGATTGCAGTATGGAATAGCAAACCCGTTGCGTCGAAGACCTTGCTCGAGGATGAGAACCTCCTGCACTTCTGTGGACTTCTTACCCACAAATCTTGTCCTCTCCCTAGCCAGAAAACTTTCGATCTCATCCGGATCGAGGGTAACCCAGGTATGTGTTGTCACTGAACAGGCTCGAGCATAATCATTTCTGTTTCACATATTGTGTGTCTATTGCGGCTTTAACTTGTGCGTAATTTTTTTGCAGAGATGCCCACTACCTCCGTACCTAGGAGGAAAGCTCCTTTGAGAAAGAAGAAAACCGTCGAGGGGTCAAGCTCAAAGCCTGCTGACTCGACCACCTCCCAGTCCGCCCGCTCGGCCTCACCTCCTCCTGAAGTGACCGTCGAGCAACCATCTTCGATCAACCCTCAAGCTGACCAGCAACCCGAGCAACCAGAACAGCTCGAGAAACCAGTATCTCCTCCGCCGCACTCTCCTCCGTACGACCAGACCACCCCGGTTATCCATATTCCCGCTTCTCCCGAGTGGACTCAGCTCGAGGAGAATCGACTTAAACGTCCCTCTGCTGAGGGGGACGAAAATGTCGGCAAGCGTCGCCGTGTTGAGGAGACTGCACTTTCAATCACTACACTTGACGGCGTGGGATTCTCGCATTTCCTCCGGGATATTCTTCCTCTCGTCGACCATCCTACCGACCGCTACAATGATGGTCATACCCTTAGAGACCGGGGTAATCGAATTGCCCGTTGGCTGACTCAGGTAGCCTGCTATAATTTAATGTTTATTTGTTTTACTCAACTTCCTCCTCTCGTCGGTGTCCTAACATTTCTTCTTATGTGCTCTTGTAGGGAATGGTCGAGCTTGCGCCGCTGATCAAGCAGACGTTAGCTAGCCCGAGCCGATCCATCCCGGCGATCGAGCGAGGCAATCTTCAGCTCGGTAATCGGTTGGATGAAATGGTTGTCAAGAGCAAAGCTCTTCATGACAGGCTGAAGGAGTCGGCCGCCCGAAATAAGGTCCTCTCACCTGAGAAGGAAACGCTCGAGGG